ACGTCGTTGTGAATCCTTTTTATGAAATCCTTTTTATGAAAGTAGAAACACAAAAATGAAGTTCGCCCGAATCGAAATATCTCGAAACGCGTAGGACTAATTCTTCATTGGTCGAGTCGACCCGCCAAATTCAAATTCAGCGCAAGGAGTGCGCAGTAGATCTCGTTTAGTATAAAAAAACATCGTGGAAATACATAGACGTTGAACTCTCAGCGAATTTTTCGCTGCAAATAATTGATGATTCAGAGAACGAAATAACTGCACTTATTCACCCGACGATAATTCAACACTTTTGGAGAATCAATAAAAGATGGTTTTAATCAAATTTAGCTTTAAAAAAAAATTATATGCGCGCAGTAATGGAGTGAAGGATAAATAATTAGTGGAGAAAAAAATTGGCAATTTATTTTCTTCTCGGGCAATTCCAATGGTTCTCGTAGTTATTTGTAATTATTGAGAGATTGACACAGTGTTCTGATGTTTTTTAGTTACTGCAAGTAATTAAACCTGTCAATGGAATATCACGTCTCTCGCTTTGCAATTTAATTAGAGTAATGGAATTCTTCACAACGGGTTTACACCTGGCATCAGATACTACCTTCGATTATGTTCAGATATAATTAATCAACTTTTCTCCTTGAATCATCAAGTTATCCTACTTTATGTCAATTTTATGCAGTAATGTAAGTCAAGTTCAAATCGACTATTCGTCTGTATTCAAAATAATTCTTTGACTTGAATCAAGTCAATTCTTCGGCGTGGTTTAAGTCAGTTTTTCAACTCAATGCAAATTAATTTTTCTACTTGATTCAAGTTCACTCTTCAGCTTCATCCATGTCCAAATGCAAGACGTCAACTTTACGACATCAACTTGATTTTTCAATGCTGTTCAAATAGATTTTTTAGCTTGACTCAAATTCAAGTTCATTCAAGTTGATTTTTCAATTTAAGACCTGGCTGGATCATCTATCGAACGTCATCTTTTGTTGAAATTTGATAATTTTATCCTAAAATACATAAAAAATTCGAATCAAATTTGCGTGGCGGGAAGCACTTGAATGGACACAAAAAAATAATAAAAAAAGAGGAAAAATTATTGAAGAGCGCTAAAGAGCGATATTGTTTAAAAGGGATCTATCAAGTTTACTAAATTTGTATTTGTGGCCGCAATTATATATCAGATATATACACATCTATAGATGATATATCTAATGAGCTACGTATTCTTCATTATATTTTTGTAAAGTTTACCTCTTTTTTTTCATTATTTTTTCATGTCCATTCAAGTGCTTCCCACAAGAAAATTTCCTATTCAAAAATTTCCTAAATTTTAATATATTTTAGGCTAAAAAGATCAAATTTAAACAAAAGATGACGTTCGATAGATGGTCGACCGGGCCTGAACTTAATTTCCACTCAAATCTTCATGCATTTAACCGTCATCTAAATTCCTTGACTAGTGCGACTTGAAAATTCGCGGTTGGAGGGGGTGACTGGTAAAAAGTCATTGGAAAAAATCGACAGGGGTGGAGAATTAAGGGTTAAAATGTGGATGCAAATGGAGTATAGCTAGGTTATCTTTATCACGTGAATACATTACGGGGAAAAGACACATGGTGTGACGTTGGCACAGCCGACAGTAACGCCTGGAGTCGTCCTCGTACACAGCTGACACATGATAACTCGTGTTAGCCATCAGGAGTAAGAAATATAGGGTCGTTGAGTAACTCATGTCTACCCAGTGTCGTGTATTTGTCGTGGAATGGGAGGTCGGAGTGTCAAGAAAATTCTCCGAGATACAACCGACAATGCACAATTAATAACAAACTCGCTTGGCATTTGTCACGTGTTACGTCTTTATCTCGCGTTAAAAAAAAAAGCTACTAAAGAAAGCAAAAAAAAAATTTTCTTGAAATTTTTGGTTTTCTGTTAAACAATTATAAAAAATAACGGGACCATCAGTTTTTGTGATGTGCAAAAGGAAATTGGGAATGTGGAATATTTATTACTCGTTGATATCGATTATTAGTATTGAAATTATTAATACTGAATTTCAGGAAATGATAGTTTGAAGGATTTTCGGGGGAACTGACATTTTTCACAGAATTGATCTATTTAATTTATTTATTAATGTTTAATCTATCTTATTCTTGTTATTTATCTATTAGCTTTTGTAGTGATGTAGCGTAGTGACGATTCGAATATTTTTCATCAGAAATTGGAGTAAAAATTACACAATGCTGACAAAAAATGAAATGATACACAATGCTGACAAAAAATGAAATGAATACGTCAGGGTAAACGTCGATAAATCTTTCCGTGCAGGATAAATTTGATGAAAAATTTTTTCATTGTGTGGTGAAAAAAATGAGGGCCGCGGATATCCGGGGGTAAAAATTAGCGACAGTTAAATAAAATGTGAAAAGCCTCGATAAGTAGGGAAAGCATCATGACGGTTGATACTTATACCACCCTCATCACCCAGTGTGTGAGCATACAGGCCGCACGCTCGCAAAACTTTGCGGAAAGTTCGTTACACGAGAATTCACGATCTGGGTCATATTCTCATCCCAAGCTCAAATATTCGACATGGCCACCCTCTTTCCACCCACTTGATATCCTGCACGTCTCTCAGAGCTGTCGTTTCTCCGTATCATTTCAATATTTGAGACACTCAGAAGCGAGACAGACAGCCAGGAAACCACATTCCCTCGGATTTTGGAAGGGGCCCATCGCTTTTCGTCAAATTCACCCGCAGGGATGTGGGGGCCTCTCCACATCGATTTCAGGCCACTGATAAACTGGAAATATTTCGGTTCACCTCGGCTATTTAATTCTCCAATAATCGCGTGTGCATTTGACTTTAACATCAACTCACACAGAGATAAATATTTCCCCAAAATAAAAGATACTTCATTCAACTATTTTTTATTTATTTATTTCATTTTATTTTTATATTTTACATGTTAAGAAAAATTAATTAAATCGAAAGTATGAAACTTTCAAGTCAGAATTGGAGGAAAATTATGATTCCTTATCATGAAAGCAGATATACGTAAATGAAGTTCGCCTGAGTCGAAACTCGTAAGACTGATTCCTTATTGGTCAACTCGAATTCGAACGTGAAATTCGAATTCGGCTCACGGAGTGCGCAGTAGATCTTGCATATTATGAGTTACAAGGCTATAATTTCCAAAATGGCGAGGGACAATACTGAAGCGAAATGTCATTAGAGAAATTTAATCCACTTGTTACCTATTTTTAAGTCGAATTTTTGGTAAAACATTTCTGAGTGGTTCCCATCTTGTTTGATAATGTTATCCACAATGTATTTTTTTGCGTTTGTTTTTTCGTCGTAATGACGACTATTATCGCTAATTGTTTTTCCTTCCACCATTGGAGTTTACGACGGTTGTTATCTTTTTAAAAATACGGTATTGTCGTCGATTTTCTTTCGAAAACATCTGGTTAATCTGCAGTTTACA